ATGTACATATAGAAAGTAGCATATGTATTTACTTGTAAAACACATCCGTTGCGAAAAACATTTCTCTAGACTAATTTACCACTGAAGGGCAAAGACGGCGAAGACTCTCCGCTGATTCTGCTAGGCGCTGGAGTATTCCTCCGCGACTGACGTTTGGTGGGGACAATGATGGCTTCATCCTCAAACTTACCGAGCTTGTCATCATAGTCATCATCGTCTTCATCGCCTTTGAAAACCGGATGAATGTAAGCGTTCTGCAAGTAGCCTTTAAGGTTCAAGTTCGGTTCTCTTGCGCTTTCCAATGTATCTTTCATCATAGCTTCCTGTAAACAACCAACCCCCACAAGGAAACAATACAAGAATGATGATTCCATATTTTTGTGTATCTGAATGAAATGGTTGTTAGAAGAAACAAACAAACCTGTAGAGGGTATCTGATGAAAGCTGGCTCATAACGGCCTTTGCAGAAGTGGTGGAAACCGATGGTAAGCACAGGCAAAGCAATGAGAAACGGTGCAGCTAATGCAGCGTGTTTCGTCCCCAACAGACCCATCAGAAGCAACTGAGAGATTATCAATGCTGCTATGACTCGTCCATGAACATCAGGCCAAAACGCTGCAGCGCTCTCGTATTCTTGATTATATACATTTATGATCTGACAACCAAAAACAAAAAAATGTTCACTTTAAGACCCGTTGCAACCCAATTGAGGAAGGAAGAAGCAGGAAAGAAACTTACTTGATGGCGATACACAATGTAGGCAAGGGCAAAGAAGATCAAGATAAAGGGGAGAAGCATTGGTGTCACGGGAGCGTAGACAAGACCGAGAAGGAAGTAGAGCTGTATCCGAGGCTCCCCCGTGTTAAAACCGATGCTTCCTGGATCCATTGCTTCCTCTCTGTCTTTCTCAGTCTTAACCAAGAAGGCGTTTTTGAGATGGAATATAATCAGAGGTTTCAGCATTAGAATCTCTCCTGCGACTCCTGCCCAACCATCAACCATTATATACGTGATGAAGAACGTTGCTTTCATCGGTATGGCCACACCAATGGTCTTGGGGATTTGGTTTGGGGATTGATTGAGGAAAGCGCTAAGCTGTTCAAACGCAGCTCCAGTGACAACGCTTGCAAGAAAGACGTTCACAAAGTTAAAGATGTAATATCGAGACGCTGCTCGTCTCTCTAAGGATGAGATTGATGTGAAGCCTTCAAATTTGGACATGATCATCAGAATGGATGGCAGAAAGATGAGGAAGAGCTTCAATGCAATACCCGGTAGAAAACCTTGTATCACTGATTTCATGAATTTACTACATAAAACCAAAACAGTCCAATCAGTCAAATATTAGTAACGATTCAGTTTATTCGATGTC